CCCTGGGGTACTGTGCAGACCTGACTAGTTTTTTTGTTGAAATACCATGCATAATAATGACCTAATCTGCATAATAATTAGCCAATTTTAAGCATTTTCATTTGTTTTTCATGTACTATTCTATGAAACCTAGTACAAGGATGCCCTGGGATATTGTGCAGAACAGATTAGTTTTGTATCATGCTTATTAATTTCCTAATTTGCATATTAACTAGCCAATTACCGAATTAGAATATTAAATATTAAAATTGTTTGAACAATAGCTGCTTGCAATCACCCTGATCATTTCTTGCAGTTATATTTTTTAAATGTTGAATTTGCTCTCATAGAAACAATATTACAGTATTTCTTATTTGTACATCATGACAACACGCAAGTTCTTTCTGAACTTTCTTTGATTGGTTCTTTCTGTCTGTCTAACATGATTTCTTGGACATGCCTTTGACGATTTTGATACATAGACAACTTATAATAGTGTACAAATGTGTGTCAATTTGACATTTGACGAACTGGCTGCCATTTTTTCCATGAAACACCTGAAATTATCTTTTGAAAATGTCATCAACCATATTTCAGTTACATGTATACCTTGGCCAATTTTATTCAAACTCTAAGTTGACATTGACATGACTTGTGCTAGTTTACTGGTGTATTTCAGTTAAGTTTCCCATGGTCCGAAAACAAAACATTAATGGTTTCAGCTCTGTGCATCCATGCATGCATCCTTTGATCTACGCCATTCAATATCTCTGACATGACCCAACTAATCATATCAAAACCATATTCATAACCATGTGCATAATTCTAATGTAGCAATATATGAAACAAATTATGAAAATCCATTTTGAAATTGTTTATCACACAGGCTGAAATGAGATATTTAATATTCTTGGACATGCCCTGAAATGTGGAGTTACAGCAATACACAAACAGCTCGATCACATGACCAAATAATGCAATAAGAGAATTATTCATTGCAAAAATAATTATAGTAGTACAATCTTCAAATATGAGTAGTCTAGAAAATTATTCATTGCAACGGAAGAGTATATAAAGATTGTGCTATCGTGAGTACCTGTCGCCTTTTGATAATTTAATCATCAGACAGTTAATCCTATGTTTTACTATGTTTCAATGTAAATTTTGAGTGGTGACATTGTACATTTTGTAAAACATCACCATGACAGAAAATGCATTATAAATTACAATATTAATTCTATTTTCAATGTCTTTGTTGGCAAGCGTGATCTGAATGTCACAGCTTAATTTCCATTTACATTTCCTACATACAGATCTGCCATTTGAAGATCATAATTTTTCTATTTGTAAGCTTATTTCCCTGTTTCTAAACTTATCTCCCAGCCTGTCAAAATAGGCTGACAACATATCATTCCTTCCAAACTAAATCAAATATTATCAATAATATTGATAATTCTTTTTTTTTTCTCTTGTGCAGAAATGAATATTGAAAGAGAACTTTAACTTTTGGACAATGAATAAGAAGCCTGCAAAATGTGTTTACCAGTAACCAGTGTACATGTAGTCAGGTAATAACCAGTTTTTTCAGGAAGTGAAGAACCATAATTATCATCAAATGGTATTTATCTGAACTGAGGACTCCTGATTACCATTTTTCTACTGTACTGACTTATTGTGTTGCAATTCCTCTGAACTCACATGGCATTGATGAACTAAGACAGCAATATCAGAATAGACAGTGGGAATAGAAAATTGCTGATTCTGCGTAACGAAAGAGCCACTTCATACACATTTGTAACAGCAGTTATTACACAATGGATGAATAGAAAAATCTATGGCCACAGTGTAAACAATGTAAAATAAGTTTTCCTGATGCTGACTCTCAAAAGCTACACATGGTAACCCATTCAGACTTGGAATTACTTTAATGTGAACAGCTGGAAAATGAAATTCATACTTATAAAGATGATGATGTTATGATGTATGTTGAGGTGTGTTAGTCAATGTGTTAAACATGCCGTTCCAGTGTAAACAGTGTAACCGGTCTTTCAGATGGTCTGGTTTTCTAAGAAGACATATGCTTACTCATACAGAGAAAAAGAAATTTCTTTGTGAACTATGTGGAAAGTATTTAAGTCGGGCTTCTATTCTAAAAAAACACATACTTGGACATTCAGATGGGAAGCCATTTCAGTGTAAGCTGTGTAACAAGTCTTTCAGATGGTCTGGTTTTCTGAGAAGACATATGCTTACTCATACAAATAGAAAAGAATTTCATTGTGAGCAATGTGGAAAAAATTTCAGTCAGCGTTCTGTTCTAAAACTACACAAGCTCATTCATACAGAAGACAAGCCATTTCAGTGTGAACAGTGTGATAATAAGTTTAGGCTAATTAGAAATCTAAAAAAACACATGATTATCCACACAGGAAAGAAACAATTTCAGTGTGATCAGTGTGACAGGTGTTTTAGTATATATAGTACTCTAAAATCACATAAACTTATTCATACAGGGGAGAAGCCATTTTGTTGTCAACAATGTGGCAAGTGTTTCAGACATTCTGTTTCTCTAAGAACACACATATTCACTCATACAGGAAAGAAGCCATTTCAATGCAAACAGTGTGATAAGTTTTATCTTCAATCTGCTCAACTAAAAATACACATGTTTACTCATACAGGAGAGAGGCCATTTCAATGTGAAAAGTGCGGCAAATGCTTTAATAAGCCTCGTAATTTACGAAACCACATGTTTAGTCATACAGACGAGAAGCGTTTTCAGTGTGAACAGTGTGGAAAGTGTTTTAGACGTGTTACAACTCTTCAATGCCACATGCAAACTCATTCAAGTGAGAAGCGGTTTCAGTGCAAACAATGTGACAAGTGGTTTCGTCGGCCTGAGCGTCTAAAAACGCACATGATTATCCATTCGGGAGAGAAGCCATTTCAGTGTACAAAATGCAACAGGTGTTTCAGTCAGCCCCGATATCTTAAAACACACTTGTTGTACCATTCAATAAAGAAGCCATTTAAGTGCACACAATGCGACAGGTGTTTTAGTAAGCCTGATCATCTAACAAAACACATGCCTACTCATTCAAAAGAAGCCATTTCAGTGTACACAATGTGAAAAGGTTTTTCCTCTGTCTTATAATTTGAAACAACACATGTTTACTCACACCGGAGAAAGTCCATTTAAATGTACACAGTGTGGGAATGGTTTTATTCGTCCTTGCGATCTAAAAAGACACATGCTTACTCACATGGGTGCAATCATTTCAATGCAAACAGTGTGATAAGAGATTTACTCTATCCGCCCACCTAAAAAGACGCATTTTTTCTCACACTGGAGTGAAGGCTTTTCAGTGCACCCAATGTGGGAAGGGCTTTAGTCAGTCACTGATCTAAAAAAAAACACACGAGAACTCATGCAAGGAAGCCATTCCAGTGTACACAGTGTGATTACTTACCTTCATTGTGGGAAGTGTTTTACATGTTACTCTTGTTGGATAGAATTAAAGAAAGTATCAAAAATTGTATATTTTGCATCCTGTTTATGTTCATATTGAAGGGAAGTGGTTTCGGTGTGAATATAAGGACAATTATTTATGTATAAAAAATACTGTAATTATAGATATGTACATTGTAATAATTTCTTTGCAGCAGTTATATATATATATATGCGAGAAATTATTTCAGTTCAAGTGTATAATTTTCACACACATGGACTTTTCAATTGTATTAAAAAAATTTAATAACATGTATCTTGTTGCATATTCTGAACTTTTCAAGTACAACAAAGCCAAATTTTGGTTTATTATTGAGTAAGTAAGAACCAGTAACTATAGGCTAAATCTGTGATGGGCTGCTATACTTGCGTTAGAACTTTGCGTTACAGTCCCCACTCGCTCAAATTGAGTGGTCAGGCAACAAGCACTTTTCGGAAAGTTACCAATGAGGACTTTTTTTTATATACTTTCTGAATATGGCAACTTCAAATGTAAGGTATAACAAACAAGTTCTACCACATTTTCAAAGTGGTCCATTTCTTTGACAGATAGGTCTTTCCACTTTCCACATTAGATAATAATAGGATTCTGCATTCAATCAGAACTTTTTTCAGCTCAACGGACCAAAGTTTTACTAAGCTATAACAATGATGCTGTGTCTATTGTCTGCATGGATGGATGTGGAGGACGACTTCACAAAAAATGCTGAACAGTTTTTAATGTTTTTTGCCATGTACCTGTTTTGATGGGTGTAGATGGTAATTTATTAAGCTACCAAAAATTATGAATATTTCTACCAATAACTACCAAAATGCTTATGACTTCTGCTATGACACTAATTGGTCTGCATGGCTGACATTGATAGTACACATAGGTCAATACCAGCAATCAATTTTGTTTATATAGGAAAAATGTTTGCCCATGAAAATTGTGAGAACAGGAAACTGAGTTGATGATTTTATTCAAAATCATAAAATTCCTATTTCCCAACAAGGTTAGGTCATGTAAATGCAATATTAGAATATAATAAAGTGCATAGTTCATACTTTACCCACTTTTCTACCGGGGTCATCCCAGTTGTTCGAAGGTTCATGAGACCGAAGGTCCGTGAGACCGAGATTGCAAAACAAAAATCTAAAGCACATTTCCTGACAAAATTACTAGAATGTGAGTTATGTGCGGAAATGTGTCTTCATATGGCATGAGTATACAGACTATATACATATGGCGTCTGAATTAAGCTCATAAAAATAACAGAAGATCGTTTTTGAACAAAAATATCACAAAGAAAATAAATGTCTCCTGTATTTCGAACCATGTGCACAATTTGTGATTACACTTTTTTAAACATATCTATATTAGCCAGCGCATATTATATGTAAACTATATATTTATAAAACACATTGTTTGATCATTCAGCCAATTACTTCATTGAGTTAAACTATTTTGAAAGACGAAAACAAACGCCTATCATATTTACTATTGCATTATTATTCAAAGAACAATATATATTGACGCATTCATGAAAAATAAGGCGACTTTTTAACGCTTTGAAACAATCGAAATAGTCATTATACCAAAATATAGTATATTATACGGAACTACATAAATGAACCACCAAATATTCACGTTTTTACATTAAATTAGTCACGTGTTTTCATTTTTTTTCTGTAATTGCGTCGTTTTTAGTTTAAGGATGTTTTGATGTTTTCATTATATATAAGAAAATACTCTACGTCAGAGAATAGCTAATAATTTGAAAGCCCCATATAGTTATATCAATCAATCAATCAATCAAATATTTTATTTTACCTAATAATGTACACTTGTAGTCTACAAAATAAGAATCAATTATAAATAGGAACCAGAAATAGCCGTTGGCTAATCTAGTCTGATATCGATTTTGTGACAATCAGTTGACAATCATAAAACTTGAATAAATGAAAGTAACAAGGGAAGTTTCTCACATACAAGTTAGCCACAATGTTTAAAGAATTCCTGCTAGTTTATTTCTTCCACAATGATTTTATTTTCTGCGCAATGGTGGTTAAAGATTTAAATAAGTTTGGAGAGCACTGTTTGGTCATTTCCATCCTAAAACAAAACAATGTAATTATATTGGTTACAGAAAAAGTCGGAATTTGCCTGCCTAACTGTTGTGAAATAGTCAACGAACTATGGTCCGGGCTACCCCCTTTCCCTCATGGTAATGCGGTCTGCGGAACATTGGTTTCTAGACTGATCATTCTTTCGTATGTAAGCTAAAAATAGCTGCATTTCAGTGCACGTCGGACGTAAATTTGATATGCGGAAAGTTCTGCGTTATTGAGTGTTTCGTTATTCCATTATTGCTGCATTGCCCGAAAGTATAACGAAATCCAGGTTAGCCCGGAATTCAGGCTAGTCTGTATCATGAGGAATCTTGAGGCCACGAATGACATAACTCAAATTTGTTAAATTAGTACTGTTATATTGCTTCGCCTTGCACATTGAAAATACGGCTACTTTTGGCTTATGTTGTGACATTTGTTTGTATTGTAGCTGTACTATTATAAACGCTTGCGCGTACAATAGGGACACGCATGACATACTCACGCGTCATCCTAAAATTAAAATTATATAACAAATAAAATACAAAACGAGGTGTACAAACCCAGGCCAGATGAAATTAAATGCGTGCATCAAACCCGGTATTGAAAGAGGATTTATTTTGCATAATTTTTACCTAACTATAATGTATTCTAAAAATCTATCTTTCGAAAAAAGCTTTTTAGTTGCTATGATAAATATGTAAAATGTAATTTATAATTCATTCCTACCCACATACCTACAAGAAATGTGCTTATCTAACATCGTAGTGTTACGTAATTTTTTACAAGAATTCCGAATAAGTTTTCCATGAAATAGGAAAAGAAAGCTTCACGAACGCGTGTGCCTTAAAACGAATTGTTTTTTGTTTTGTTTTGTTTTGTTTTGTTTTTTTTTTAATTTGTTAAAATATCCAAGTCAGATGACTGACTGACAGTCGATTTGTTTTGCTTTTAAAACACATAATAAGTATAAAATAAGTATTTATAGTTGCGGTGAGTATAAATCCCAATGTCAATGGCAATACTGGTAACTTAATGCTGGATATATTACTATTACTATTACTGATTTCACAGTCAACAAACTAGATAACATGTTAATGAAAACCCTGATTAAAAACAGTAATATTTTCCTATTTACCCTCCTATTATTATACAAGTGTGTACGTGTAGTTTTACAAGACTTTAAACAGGGCGTTGTAAGTCGGCCCCGTCTCGTGCATTTTAAAAACGTTATTAAAATACCGACTACCTTACCTATATGCAGAAAGGAAATTGAAATCGATCAGTAACATCGTTCTGCTCCCTATAATACAGTACTAGAGCTGTACAAACAGATTGCACATATACTGTAAAATGACTAATTTTCACTGGGTTTAGCTGATTTACCATTTCAGGCATATTCAGTGGGTCTTAAATTCACGGTTTTATCATTTAGATAATGTGTTCTATGCTAAATTTTACATATTTACTGGGTTTTAATTTGGCGCATTTTCCAGTCAGCGATATAAGCAAAATTAAAACCCAGTGAATAATTAATCTCTTTACAGTATTATGCATGTATAATTGGTGTACTGTAGCGACATATTAACTCAAAAGCCGAAGCATTTCAATTGAATATGACGACTAAATTATTCTTATATAGCAACGGAATAGAAATCGTAAAATAAAAAATGCATCGACTCTATAGTAAAACACTTCATGTGCACACGAATTCAGGATGTGTAATTGGTGGAGTATAGTGGCATATTAAGTCAAGAGCCAAAGCCTGTTTCACATGCATTTCAAAAGATATTAAAACGCGTACATTAACCACGCGTGGCGATTTATGAAGGAATAATAACACTGATTGAGTACATAGTGTCTGCTCACCTGTAATACTATACTCGGATGTGAATTGCCTGTATATGTCTTACTGAATTAATATTACATGTAACAACACCGTACTATTTGTCTACATTGCGTTTTTAATACTCTGATATTATTCTGTCAGTATTTGTATATTTCTTAATTAATCGTGTCATGTCAAACGTTGAAATGTACTGCAAAACATCATTATTCAGAAAAACACAGTGAATACACATCAATAATATGAAAATCGAAGATTCATTTAAAATGTGTCAGATTCATGGAAAGAAATATATATTAGACCTGAATAAAGATTTGTTTATATCGAAATTAAGAAAAACATGTATAGCAATTAAATGATCCTAAGGCGGTTAGCGACAATATGATATACGTATTAACTAAACAGTCATTACTGCCCCCGTTGAATCATCGTAAAATGCAACTGTCGCTCAAATTA